CTGGAGGGACTGGATCCCACATTTCAGTTCATTTCTATCAGTGAGAGAGGTGATGTCGATTCTACCCTCCTTTCGTACAGAGACGAAGATAAACAAAAACACGACGATGCTTTTGTGCGTTGTCAAGCAATTAGCATCGTTCTTTTCCTGTACGAAACGTTTGGACGATTGTCAGCTATAGATGTTCAAAAGCACTTACATTTCGCTCCGTGGAATTTTCATCACCGGGTGGAACTCCCTAAGGACGTTAAACCCAGAATCACAGCCCACCAGGATTTTTACCAGACATTCCCCGGGCTACCCCTGTGGTCAATTTGCCCGGTTCACTACGGCAACGAACACTTACGCTTCCATATTTTTGCGAGAAACTTTATCGAGATGAGATCGTTTTATGAGATCTTAACTGGAAAGAAGCCTAGTGGTGGATCGGCAGGATTCTGTTTCTTCACCCTTTATAGTCAGAGTGGTTTTGATGTTCAACTTTCCCTTAAACATTTACCTCAAATTATCCCTATACCTTCGAGGTCTATTCGGTTAAAGATGAAAATCAAAGATATTAACGTAATACTGCCCCATTTGACTGACTCACCCGTTCATAGAGAGGAAGCCTTGTGGACTGTAAAGGACCCGGATGGGAACGAGCTTATTCTCGAGGAGAGTGAGTCCTCTCCCCATAGAAGGAAAACAGGACGCCTTCTGTCTAACACAAGTCTGGAGACGTCAGACTATGAGACAGCGTCTATTGATACAGAAAGTCTTGCAGGAAGTATGAATCTTTCGCCTCAAGGGACACTTAACTCAAGCTTTCATGATCGTTTTACCCTATTATAACAGTAGACGTCCTCATAACTTAAATTTCCAGTCTAAAATACTAGCCCTCTTTTCGCCTTCGCACTCAATAGGACATGTCATGTTTCTAGTTAGTATTTAAACTAGCATTGAGTACTAGGTGATTAAGTTTTGAATTGTCAAATCATTCAATAAGAAATATGTCATATGACCCCGGTGCACAATTTTGTGTAAGGGGCCGACCATTTGACTTTTGAGGGGGACGTATGGGTGATTTGGTTTGGGTGAGAATTTTTTTTCCCAAACCTCTGGAGTTGGAAATTTTTTCTACGACATCAAACGGTGCAAGATTTTTTTTTCTAGCATTATACGCCATGAGAGATATTTTTTTCAGCGCAGGAATTTTTTCCCCAGGTATTTCATTGCAAGATTTTTTCCCTCGAAATCAGTCTAGGAAATTTTTTTCTGAAATCGCCCATATCTTATAGCCTGCGAGATCAGACGCCTTTTTTTGTTTCACCCCCCGAGGGAAACAAGTGCCGAAAAAGGCGTCTCGTCTCGCAGGCTACCCATACCCCATCCCCTTCAAAAGTCAAGTGGTCGGCCCCAAACTTAACCTCAGCAAGCGGTCACCATTCGCGAGTAACTGTTATACTCCAACGTCATAATTTTTTCAGTGTTGTCGTCTCAGAGACGTTTGGCGGGAAACTTCTGTCGTCAGATGTCATGTGACATAGAAGTAACCAATGAGAGCGGGCGCTGTTGGAGAAAAAATTCCGGTTATATAACAATAGGAATTATTCGTGGTTTAGGCGACCGCTCTATATATACTAATGTCGCATAAATGGGGAAAAATTAGTTTCATCATCAAATTACCTCACTTTTTTATTGTGTTCAGTTGACGTCAAGTTACGCTCAAGAGGTTGACTTAAATAATCACGTAAAAGATATTTACTTTATTTTTTCCTCTACAAGTTTCACTCTCGTACTTTTGTTTCGTTATCTTTACTTCAAAACTTTGTTACATCTAATTACCTTGTGATCTTTGTTTCTTCTTCAAATTTCGTTTAAAGCTTTATAGATCAGTAATTTCTAATAGTTCCTACTTAACTCATCGCTTAGAGAAATAGTATATTGTTGTCCCAATAACGTGGTGCCTTTGATATATCTCATGACTAAATGCAAAACTGATTGCTATTATGATCAATATTCATTCAGTTTTAGTACAATAAGGCACCAGAGCATATTAATGAGAGTGAAATAATGAGTTTAAAAAAAATAGACCTGTCATATGTCGCTTTAGATTGAGGTTGAGTTAATAAAAACGAAAAAAGAACTGTTGTCCGTAAACTACATAAAACGTTAACCAAGTCTCTTCGTAAGAAAGAATCTGTTAAACGCAAAGGAGAGAACGGAAAGAACGCCGTGGTTATTCAGAAAATAAATATCCACCCCATTATCATTTACAATGATCGAACTGTCTGGAATTATCCGTTGTTTTCCTTCAATTATTAATCAAGACAGTTTTGAGGGTTTTTTGAATTTAATTTAGTCACCTCTTGACTGGGTTTACTTCTCCGAATTTCTTTGCTTGAGTGACTCCCAAGAATTTCATAAGGATATCATTCTTTGATGATATCCATTAAATCATTTTAGACCGTGGAGCGATGTTTTTCCTCTGTCTTTTTCTGGAGCGGATGAGAGTTACTAGCGACTCTTTGCGATATTGTGAAGGCGGATAGTTTTGAATTTTCTATTCGTTAAATTTAGAATTGTTTGGAAACTTCGTATTCACCTGCTGTTAACCTATTGTTGCCCTGTCAACGTCGCTTAATGGAGGAACGTCATTATAAACAGAAGAAAGTCAAGTACTTGACGAGAAAACGAAATTCTTCACCTGCTTTTCGGTGACTTCGTAAAATTTTCTACTGCTACTAGGTGGAGGGAAAGAGTTGTAAGCCTGGAGACTAATCAACTTCAGGACGGTAGAAATGGCGATCTTAAAGGACGATTCGGAGAGATCACCCTTTCATTCTTATTACAGACCCAGTGTTGATGATTTTACTAGCATACTAGACAGACTGAGGGCAAGACGACTTCAAAGTACACTGGAATTTTCAATTTCTCCAACCTGTTTGGATGAAGGCAACGAAACTAAACAAGAAAAACAGGAACGGCTCCGTCAAGAAGCTCTGCAGAGGGAACAGTACCTTTTGTCGATGAGGCCAAACAGACATATTGTGTTTGCTGCAAAATTCGCCAAAATAAAAAACCAAGGTCTCGCCAGGCGATACGAAAACCAGGTGCATACTTGGAGTCAAGAAATGGATCGAAACTTTCGAATTACAAGCACCCACACGAAAGCCTTACAAAAAGAACTTGTACGCTTGCGGAACAGAGAGGAACGTGGCACGATTCCTCAGTTAAAGCTGTCATCGTCAAATGAGAAATTCTTAAAGTACTCGCGCAAAAGGCGCTCAAAGCAAAGCGACCTAAAACTGCCAAAACTTGAAAGGTTCAAAGATGAAAGTAATCGCGCGGGGCATGTGTCTGATAAAAGTAATAGACATTACGCATTAGGAAAGGCTGAGTTCAGCGATCAGTCTGTGATGCTTCCTTCTTTGGAAACTGCGCAGCCACAGAAAGATGCTGCGTAGATTCCACAGCAAGATTTCATTTTCAGTCGTTTTAACCTTAGATAGATATGGCTACGTTCTTGGATAGTCAATTATTTGCATTATTCCTGGGCCAAAGGAAGTAATTGTTTTAAATTTATTATTTTAAATCTGTTAATACTACTGACTTCCTCCTTGGAATATCTTCCCTAGCACAAGACGAACATAAAGCCTAGGGTAAAACGTCGGCGAAGAATATGAAAACTTCCGCTGATTGTGGATATAAACCTTTAGCAAGAAAAATTAAATTCAGGAACTCAGGAGCGAACTGCAATCCTTGCGCTATTTAATTATAAAATTTGAGGTTTTAAAATATTTTAAGTTGACGTGAAACTCCAAATTTAGAACGTACCCCCGTTTACGTTGGCAGTCACACCTATTATCCTACCAATGTTGGATTAAAAGTCGTAGCAGCGGGTCTCCATATAAATAACATTACAATTTAAAGCGTTCCTTATAAAAACCCTTTAATTTTTTTTATTTAAGTGCGGATGATTAGCAGTTTAGAGCATTTTCCATTTATACTATTTAGGCTATTATTAATTGGCAGTTTCTTACGTGGGATGCCCAGTATTAGTAAGAAAAAAAAAGTTGGGCGTCTGACTGTGACCAACCCCCGCGCCGTGAAGTATTTCTTAGTTTACAAAAACGTTAAAATAACTAAAAAATAGCTTCGTCTGTGTTGCAATAAAAATTTCAATATAAAATAATGAACTTTTTCCTAGAAAAAATTAGGAACAAATTAGGCAATAATTTGTTGCACGAAATGCAGATGATGGGTGTTTCCACAGTCGTTTCCAGTCTCCTTTCTATGTTCAGCGTCAAGTGTTTCGGCAGCATTACGAGCGATTTTCGAAAATATTTCGAAAGTCGAAAGTATTACGACATTTTCGTAATTATTTCGCAAATCCAAACCATCCCGAATTTTGGGAACCATTCCGAACTTTCGGAATCATTGGGAAATTTTCGGAACCATTCCGAGATTTCGGAATTTTTTTACACATGGCGGGCCATATAAATGTGGCTTCTTTAATCTTTTCCCGCCATTTTCTTCCCCCCTTTCCTTTTTTTCCCCTAGTGCACGGCGTGTTGTTTATGGTAAATCCTGAGTTGAGTTCCGCGTTGAAACGATATTGTACTTTCAACATATGAGGAACAAATAATTTCTGTGCAACAGCTGTGTGCCTACATTACCAGCTTTTGGTGCGGTTTTTTGTACGCTATACAATAAATCCAATGGGGTTGGTGGGATTATAAATCGAAAGAAATGATTTTCAGTATCGTTTGCCATCTTGAATTTTCTCAACCTCAACCACGAGGCGATTTTCTGGCAAATAACATTATCAGATTATTTGGCAGGCGTCTGTCACTACGGACGACCCGATTGGCTGCGGTATTTATCAGGACAGGTTATACCCTTTCGCGAGGTAGTATAACTCTGCTTGAATTTTCTTGCCGTAAAGGCGAGAAAATCCCTTGTTTTTGCTTGTGAAAACAGCTTGCATTTTAAACTAGCTATTTCTGGATTTTTCGGTTCTATCTAGTAAAAATTGGGTCAAAATTGTCCCAGTGAAAACACAACCCCTGTGGTATGGGTGCGCTATCAAGAATACCATAATTTGGTGCCCTGTGTGTGTCCTCCAGGGCGAACAAAAGGGACATCAGATCTCTCTCCTCCGCAGAGGCTCCCGCTGGGTATCCCTATAAGAATAGCAGTAATCGAAAAAATAGAAAGCGCGCGGGGGACGATGGAATGGCGGACAACCGCTCCAAAAACATGAATTGTAAAAAATCCGTGAAACAGAATCGAAACCCCTTTTATACTATTATCTTCACAACAGCGTTCAAAAGCATCCAAATAGTCGGCTGGTTTAGCCAAAACCACTGAACCGCACATCATGTGGCAGAGGACTCTCTTCTCTCTTCCCCTTTCCCATCGTGCCCCGAAAGCTGTCTTTTTCTTTCTTCCCAGCTTCCCCACAACACAGAGGCCTAAGGGGAGGAGAGAGACATCAGATTGAATGGCGCCACATGACGGCCGAAAGCATCGAAAAATCAACAACAACTGCTCCTTGATCTGTTTTTTGGTAGCAATTCCTACCCTGTTATGATCTACTTTTCTGAGTGACTGATTTGATTGAAAATATTTCGCCAATCGCCCTTTCTACAATGGTCATTATCTCACTGGCAGCTTATAAAAGTAATGTTGTCAAGTCAAAAATGCTGAGTTTTCTTGTCTCATAAGGACACAGAGAAAATGATGTGTAGGACTCAGAGAAGAAATTCCGTCAATTCTGGAAGGAACAGCCAACGACGATCTCCCAGGTAGTTCAACCAATCGGCTCAATCTATATCCGCGTACATGAGGTACCTACCATAGAGGAATGAGGACACCGCTGACCAAGGCATAATTAAAGAAAGGTTAAAGGACGCGGTGGTCTGGGATGCCGAAATCGATGTTCGTAGTTCACCTCCATGTGTTAAGAGTATTAAAAAGTTGGCTATGAACGGCAAGTATTATAATGTGTATGAGACAGTGTTACTACAACTCTATAATCAGTTGCAGTCCGTCCTTGTCTAGAAAATGTCAAATCCAGTTCAGGTATTTTAGTGCAATCAACCAAGTCTTGGCGAGTGGCTGCAACACTGCAACACCTTCATTAAAAAAAATTGTGCACAGTAAAGATAAGCGAAGCGTGCGAGGGAGCGGGACTTGATATTTCGTCTTTGGCTGCTGCCATAGGCAAGTTTCATTAAACCTCAGACTTAGTGTGAGCGGATGTCACCGCGATCTCTGAAATCTTTTTAACACTTCCGCAAAAAAATAAATGTGTTATTGTCTTCCGCTGTATGCTGTATAGGGCAACAAGACTGCAGTCTGATCGTCGATTAGACTCTGTTAGAGATCCACAAACTTGTACCTATTATGAGTTTCTGTCTGATTATGACTTATTTAAAAAACTAAGAAATGATGAATAGCAAACATTCTCTCAATTTGCGCCCTTATCAACTTTATTCAATGCGGATTTCACTCTGAAGTGCCTTTTTCGGGGCCGTCGAATGGTACACCTTTCACATACGTAGTTTAGAACTTTGTATCCCTTGCAACTGCTGTAAATGCGCTGTTTTTAAAATGCGAATGAATCACATTTATCTAGGCGCTCTGTTGATAATAAAGCACTATCCTATCCTATCCTATCCTATCACAATAGTGAGAACGTTCTCTCGACTTTTCGGAAGACATTAAATGCATCTTTTAGACCTTTTAGGCCTTTAAATCAGACCTGAACGACAGACTTCACTACCCTTTCACATACTTCAATTCACACACCTAAAGCCTGAATATGATAACCCTTAGGGGCGGAACCTCCCCGTACAGGCCATTATAATGAGTCCCCCCCCCCAACCCCTTCGAGTGACGTACCCTCGAGGGCAGATTCGACTTAAAAGAGGAACTTGTATTCGAACATGTGTTAATGGAAGGCCAAGAATAAATGATACAAATAGCTTTAAGCTGCAAAACATCCGGCTAATGTAGCCTCTGATTTCCTTACTTTTTTTACTTATTCTATCATTACACCTATTTTTATTATTTCGCCGTGGATATTTATACTTTCTGCACATTTACAAAGTAATTCAATATTTTAATGAACTCTCCATCATGAGTCATGTTTCACATGCTCTCAATAGCACCTTAAACTTCTCTTAATAAATTACTTGTAATTACGTATGCCATTCTTATCATCAATGATATCGACTGACCCGTATGTTCTTCCTATCAAAATGGCCCGGACTTTCTTTCTTGCTCTCAGAGGTTATTCTCCGGGTTTTCGGATTTTTCCTTTTCTCAAAAACTGACAATTCCAAATTGGCTTTCGATCTGTAATACAAGAAAAAGCCCCATTATCCACATACAAATTCTCCACACTGAACTCCATACATTTAATAGGTCGTCATTCTATAAATTCCCATTACCTTTTTTCTTGGTTAAGTATTGACTTTGTGAAGGGAAAATTGATGTTGATCACTCTTAAAACTTGAGAAAGAGGGCGTGACTTTCCCCCAGGGCATGACCACAGGCTACAATAAACGCCTATAAAGCTGGTACAAATAATAGGTAAAATCTCCTTTTTATTAAATTATTTCTTTGGAGTTTGAATGAATCGTATCGTGACGACAATTCAACGGTTCAAAACATACTAATGCTCGAGTGGAAATTTCCCAAGGCCACTGTGAATCTGTCGGTATTAATTTGATGGCTGATTTTTACGTTTTAAAATAAACCATTCACCTCTTGAAATAGCATATGAAACTGATAGCTGAGTCATAATGGCACAAAAAATTGATCAAACTAAAAGCGAACTTAAGAAAAAAAGTATATCAAATATCAACAGACGTAACTATCCGCAATAATATCGATTCTTAGTTTTAAAAGTTTGTTAATAATTATTATACTATTCAATGAAATGTTCCCGACGAAATGGCAATCAAAGGAAGAAATAGCCCTGCAATTGGGATGTCGTTTCGAAGGCTACGGAAGCTGAAATTGGCTTTTATGAAATGCTAACAAAAAAGATCAAGGAACAATTGTTCTTTAGGAAGGAACATCTAATGGGCGTCTTTCAGAAATTATGTATGTTAATGGAAGAAAAACTGCATTAATGTTGCTAAAATAAATTAAAGGTCAGTTTAGGTGGTGATATTCTCCATTCAGTTACTTGTTAGGTTCAATTTTTTTTGTTTTTTAATTTTTGCTTGATATTTGGGTCGAAGGGAAACTGCATAGTTTTTAAAAGTCCTTGTTTGAGTTATAAAGGAAGAGTGCTCTTTGCATCTCCCGTGATATTGTAGTAAGAGTTTCTGTCAATTTTGTTTCTTGTAATTTTAGTCAAGCAAAACCCAAAAATTCAATCGTTTTAAAGCTAATATGTCATGACGCACAAACTTAATCATAAATCACCGTATGGTAAGTAAACTGGCACTATAAATATAACAGGACCTAGGCTCTTCGGTCATTTTTCGTCAGAGGTGGTTGGAGCACTGCTTTCCCAGGGAGTAAGATGCAAGGCAAGAATAGTCTTTACCTATTGGTAAGCCTTCTTACTTTCAGAATTGATCTCTGTCAGTTTTATTGTTTAAATATTCCCAGTTCAACACGCTCTCTTTGAAATTGACTGAAAAAAAAAACTAAAAAATGATTTTTTGGAGATTTTAGTTTCTGTATTTGAGAAAGTCCAAACTCTTGCTCTCTGCCTTCCTTTAGATTTTCTCTAGCTCCAGTAAGATATGATAGCCTTTGTCTCCTCTTAATATTAGGTGACTGCCATTCTTCTCTGTCTTCACTTTTCTACGGCAAAGCTTAAGGCAAATGACGATCAGTCGCCCTTGCCCGGTTTGTCCGACGGTTCTCTACTGCCAGCTTCTAACCATCGAGTGCCATACAATGGGAAAGAAACAACACGTGATTCTTCACGTTATGAAGATGAAGCAGAAGAGTACTACAGTCCTCCCGAGGCAAAATCTGCATGCCGGCCTGGGGTTATCAGCAGTATAGAGTCATGTGTGAAGAGTCGTGAGATGGTGCGTTGCGGAGATCGTCTTGTCCCATCTCTCACCTGCCGTAAATCTAGTTTTACAGCCTGTCATGAAGCTACACGTAAGTGTGGGACGAAAAGTTGTAAACCCACGTATATATACTATCCCGAATGTGGACGCACTCTTACCGCCGCTTGCACCTGTGGATGCTCCTGAACTCCAAGCTGACAGATACCGTGAAACAAATCGAAATTGGTTGAAAATGAAATTAAAACTGGACAATGTAAACAAAAGGTTTAAAAGGTTTAAAGGCTTGTTTAAAGTGTAAAGACTCCACTCAGATACTTATTAATAAACAAGTAAAACACAAAATAGATCTAGAAATAAATAGCCTGGAAACTGATTGAGATTGGCACTTTGTAGTAGTAATAATTACATGTAGTTCAATGTGAGTATATTCGTGCAAGAATATTTCATCCTATATTGAGTCTGAATTAACCCTGTTGTCTCAAGGAATGATCAGCATCAAAATTCTCCCTTTAACGTTAATGGTAAGGTAATCGCTATGAGAAAATGGGATATCTCTGCGGTCAATAGCATTACTCGTTAACCGCCAACCAATACCATCGCGACTTAATTGACCAATCAGGTCAACAATTAGTGGTTTCCGATGATTACTATCGAGTCAATACCAAGCACAGTCCTTCCCAGTCCTATTCACACTAGCCCGGACGATCATATTCAGTCTAGTTATATTAGGACTATTCCATCAAACCGTTTAAGCAATATAATGATAAGTGATTGATAAAGAAAGTGAAGGACTGAACGATATTGTAGTCTGGAGGGATTAATACAAAACAAAGTCATAAGACATAGTAGATAAGGGACTAGAAAGAGTCGGGTGGGCTCACTACAGCTGCTCAATATCAAGCGCTGAAATCAAAAGCACTCAAGGCCAACATTAAAATGAAATTTATACTCCCCTTTTTTCCTATTTTATGCGGTCTGTCAGCAGACTATATAGATATCATTCGAGAATGTAGCAAATTAGAACCAAAATTGTCATGATAATGTCACTACTATATAATAGCGGAGCTCTCTCGACCACGAAGGGAGCGCAGCGGAGCACCATGGGTAAGAAAATTTGGTTATCTATGCATCCAAGAAATTTTAGTTCTAACAAAATCGTCCGTACGGCGCACGTACGTACACCCTTTCATGTTAGCAGATGTGAAATTACACACCTAGTAGCAAGGGGTCAAGGCATTTAAAAGTGGTATTTGACATCCATGTTGTGGTCGACAATTGACAACTGTCAAAAAGCCAATCCGCTTATTAGTGTCACATGACTGTGTCGCGGACTGAGGAATACAACTCATTGAGGTGAAGAATTTTTTAAATTTATCTCCTGACAAGTTTTTGGTTTCAATTGATCACGGGCCCAGGTTTATAGGTGGAATTCCGTTTGCTTTCCGTTTACGGCAAAAGTTCAGTTATTTGAGAAAGACATTTCTACGGCAAAGATTAAGGCAAATGACGATCAGTCGCCCTTGCCCGGTTTGTCCGACGGTTCTCTACTGCCAGCTTCTAACAATCGAGTGCCATACGATTGGAAAGAAACAACACGTGATTCTTCACGTGAAGAAGATGGAGCAGAAGGGTGCCAAACGCCCCGGTCTGCTATCAGCAGTGTAGAGTCATGTGTGAAGAGTCGTGAAAGAGTGCTTTGCGGAGATCGTCTTGTTCCATCTCTCACCTGCCATAAGTCTAGTTTTACAGACTGTCATGAAGCTACACTTAAGTGCGGGATTAAAAGCTGTAAACCCACGTATATATTCTATCCTGCATGTGGACGCACGTTTACCGCCGCTTGCACCTGTGGATGCTCCTGAACTCCAAGCTGACAGATACCGTGAAACAAATCGAAATTGTTTGAAAATGAAATTAAAACTGGACAATGTAAACAAAAGGTTTCAAAGGTTTAAAGGCTTGTTAAAGTGTAAAGACTACACTCAGATACTTTTTAATAAACAAGTAAAACACAAAATAGATCTAGAAATAAATAGCCTGGAAACTGATTCAGATTGGCACTGTGTAGTAGTAATAATTACATGTAGTTCAATGTGAGTATATTCGTGCAAGAATATTTCATTTGAAATTTTCCCCCATCTATTGCGAACGGGAGCAACTGAGTATACATGCCAATGAAGTGTTATTAAGTATGTGAATTTAGGTGTTTTAAAATTTATTTTCTGCAATCATTAGAAAAGGTCAAATAACAAATTTCAACAACTGCAAACACCAAAGGAGAAACAAGCTTTATTTAAACTCAATCCTTCTTACTTTACAATTACAATGAAGAATTCATCTACTTTTTGTCCTTCATAATTAATGGACCTGAAAGACGGGTCAAATGATCAAATTGTGGGGCATTTCGAATCACCTGCACACTTGCAAGTGCAGCCATTCACCAAGACATGGCCAGCAACATAGTATTTCTTTGGTTCACATTCGTGAAATACAGGCGAAAGCGGACTGCATCCGATCATAGAAGTGGTGTGACACTCACGATTTGGATATAAAGTATTGTTAATTACCATCACTCTGGAAGTTTTCAAACATGGATGTTGACTGCGAACATCGATTTCTGCATCCCAGACCATCGCGTCCTTTAAGCTTTCAGCCCTCATCATGCCTTGGTCAGCGGTGTCGGACTGGCCATGAGTTGAACTACCTGGGTGATCGTCAAGAGTTGTTCTTTCCAGAAGTGACGTCAATCCCTCTTTGATAGCGGCAGGACTGGCATTCTTTGGGAAAGCGACCTAAAACATTTAAAGCATTTCTTAATATGTGGTTTCCTTTGAAATCTCGTTGACCCTTTGTTCAAAACCAAAGTTAATGGCCGACTTAGTGGCAGATCCAGGTCCCCCTTGTTTTTAGGCCAAACTGAGGCCCGAAGGACTGGATCTGCCACTGGAACAACACAATCATAAGCGCCATAACTGATGTTTTCAAATATGTCATTAACATGTAAAACGACTTGATAAACCTATGACGAAATTCTGGGAGTAGGAAGAAACCAAAGAGAATGTCGTACAGATCTGAATTATGCTCAGGGATTTTTCACAGGGATCTGTGAATTGCGCACAGTAAAGATAAGCGAAGCGTGCGAGGGAGCGGGATTTGATATTTCGTCTTTGGCTGCTGCCATAGGCAAGTTACATTAAACCTCAGACTTAGTGTGAGCGGATATCACCGCGATCTCTGAAATCTTTTTAACACTTCCGCAAAAAAATAAATGTGTTATTGTCTTCCGGTGTATGCTGTATAGGGCAACAAGACTGCAGTCTGATCGTCGATTAGACTCTGTTAGAGATCCACAAACTTGTACCCATTGTGAGTTTCTGTCTGATTATGACTTATTTAAAAAACTAAGAAATGATGAATAGCAAACATTCTCTCAATTTGCGCCCTTATCAACTTTATTCAATGCGGATTTCCCTCTGAAGTGCCTTTCGGGGTGGGGGGGGGGGCTCGAATGGTACACCTTTCACATACGTAGTTTAGAACTTTGCATCCCTTCCAACTGCTGTAAATGCGCTGTTTTTAAAATGTGAATGAATCACATTTATCTAGGCGCTCTGTTGATAATAAAGCACTATCCTATCCTATCCTATCCTATCACAATAGTGACTTTTCGGAAGACATTAAATGCATCTTTTAGACCTTTTAGGCCTTTAAATCAGACCTGAACGACAGATTTCACTACCCTTTCACATACTTCAATTCACACACCTAAAGCCTGAATATGATAACCCTTAGGGGCGGAACCTCCCCCTACAGGCCATTATAACAAGTCCCTCTCCCCCTTCGACGTACCCTCGAGGGCAGATTCGACTTAAAAGAGGAACTTTTATTCGAACATGTGTTCATGGAAGGCCAAGAATAAAGGATACAAATAGCTTTAAGCTGCAAAACATCCTGCTAATGTAGCCTCTTATTTCCTTACTTTTTTTACTTATTCCATCATTACACCTATTTTTATTATTTCGCCGTGGATATTTATACTTTCTGCACATTTACAAAGTAATTCAATATTTTAATGAACTCTCCATCATGAGTCGTCTTTCACATGCTCTCAATAGCACCTTAAACTTCTCTTAATAAATTACTTGTAATTACGTATGCCATTCTTATCATCAACGATATCGATTGATCCATATGTTCTCCCTATCAAAATGGCCCGGACTTTCTTCCTTGCTCTCAGAGGTTATTCTCCTATTTTCGGATTTTTCCTTTTCTCAAAAACTGACAATTCCAAATTGGCTTTCGATTTGTAATACAAGAAAAAGCCCCATTATCCACATACAAATTCTCCACACTGAACTGCATACATTTAATAGGTCGTCATTTTATAAATTGCCATTACCTTTTCTCTTGGTTAAGTATTGACTTTGTGAAGGGAAAATTGATGTTGATCACTCTTGAAACTTGAGAAAGAGGGCGTGACTTCCCCCCAGGGCATGATCACAGGCTACAATAAACGCCTATAAAGCTGGTACAAATAACAGGTAAAATCTCCTTTTTATTAAATTATTTCTTTGGAGTTTGAATGAATCGTATCGTATACGTAACGACAATTCAACGGTTCAAAACATACTAATGCTCGAGTGGAAATTTCCCAAGGCCACTGTGAATCTGTCGGTATTAATTTGATGGCTGATTTTTACGTTTTAAAATAAACCATTCACCTCTTGAAATAGCATATGAAACTGATAGCTGAGTCATAATGGCACAAAAAATTGATCAAAGTAAAAGCGAACTTACGAAAAAAAGTATATCAAATATCAACAGACGTAACTATCCGCAATAATATCGATTCTTAGTTTCAAAAGTTTGTTAATAATTATTATTATACTATTCAATGAAATGTTCCCGACGAAATGGCAATCAAAGGAAGAAATAGCCATGCAATTGGAATGCCGTTTCGAAGGCTACGGAAGCTGAAATTGGCTTTTATGAAATGCTAACAAAAAAGATCAAGGAACAATTGTTCTTTAGGAAGGAACATCTAACGGGCGTCTTTCAGAAATTATGTATGTTAATGGAAGAAAAACTGCATTAATGTTGCTAAAATAAATTAAAGGTCAGTTTAGGTGGTGATATTCTCCATTCAGTTACTTGTTAGGTTCAATTTTTTTTTTTTGTTTTTTAATTTTTGCTTGATATTTGGGTCGAAGGGAAACTGCATAGTTTTTAAAAGTCCTTGTTTGATTTATAAAGGAAGAGTGCTCTTTGCATCTCCCCGTGATATTATAGTAAGAGTTTCTGTCAATTTTGTTTCTTGTAATTTTAGTCAAGCAAAAACCAAAAATGCAATCGTTTAAAAGCTAATATGTCATGACGCACAAACTTAATCATAAATCACCGTATGGTAAGTAAACTGGCCCTATAAATATAACAGGACCTGGGCTCTTCGGTCATTTCTTGTCAGAGGTGGTTGGAGCACTGCTTTCCCAGGGAGTAAGATGCAAAGCAAGAATAGTCTTTACCTATTGGTAAGCTTTCTTACTTTCAGAATTTATCTCTGTCAGTTTTATTGCTTAAATATTCCTAGTTCAACACGCTCTCTTTGAAATTGACTGAAAAAAAAACTAAAAAATGATTTCTTGGAGATTTTAGTTTCTGTATTTGAGAAAGTCCAAGCCACGTCGGATTTAACATTGCAAGAATCCCGAAATGAAATTTGTTCAACTGTAGCTCACTTTCATCTTAAACTCTTGCTTTTTTTTCTTAGTAACTTTCTCTTCCTTTAGATTTTCTCTAGCTCCAATAAGATATGATAGCCTTTGTCTCCTCTTAATATTAGGTGACTGCCATTCTTCTCTGTCTTCACTTTTCTACGGCAAAGCTTAAGGCAAATGACGATCAGTCGCCCTTGCCCGGTTTGTCCGACGGTTCTCTACTGCCAGCTTCTAACAATCGAGTGCCATACGATTGGAAAGAAACAACACGTGATTCTTCACGTGATGAAGATGGAGCAGAAGAGCGCCAAACGCCCCGGTCTGCTATCAGCAGTGTAGAGTCATGTGTGAAGAGTCGTGAAAGAGTGCTTTGCGGAGATCGTCTTGTTCCATCTCTCACCTGCCGTAAATCTAGTTTTATAGACTGTCATGAAGCTACAACTAAGTGCGGGATTAAAAGCTGTAAACCCAAGGAAATACACTATCCTGCATGTGGACGCACGTTTACCGCCGCTTGCACCTGTGGATGCTCCTGAACTCCAAGCTGACAGATACCGTGAAACAAATCGAAATTGGTTGAAAATGAAATTAAAACTGGACAATGTAAACAAAAGGTTTCAAAGGTTTAAAGGCTTGTTTAAAGTGTAAAGACTACACTCAAATACTTATTAATAAACAAGTAAAACACAAAATAGATCTAGAAATAAATAGCCTGGAAATTGATTCAGATTGGCACTGTGTAGTAGTAATAATTACATGTAGTTCAATGTGAGTATATTCGTGCAAGAATATTTCATCGTGTATTGAGTCTGAATTAACCCTGTTGCCTCAGAGAATGATCAGCATCAAAATTCTCCCTGTAATGTTAATGGTAAGGTATTCGCTATGAGAAAATGAGATATATCTGCGGTCAATAACGTTACTCGTTAACTGCCAACCAATACCATCGCGACTTCATTGACCAATCAGGTCAACAATTAGTGTTTCCTCTGATGACTATCGAGTCAATATCAACCACAGTCCTTCCCAGTCCTATTCACATTAGCCTGAACGATCATATTCAGTCTAGTTATATTACGACTATTCCATCAAACCGTTTAAGCAATATAATGATAAGTGATTGATAAAGAAAGTGAAGGACTGAACGATATTGTAGTCTGGAGGGATTAATACAAAACAAAGTCATAAGACATAGTAGATAAGGGACTAGAAAGAGTCGGGTGGGCTTACTACAGCTGCTCAATATCAAGCGCTGAAATCAAATGCACTCAAGGCCAACATTAAAATAACATTTATATCCCCTTTTTATTCCGATTTTATGCGGTCTGTCAGCAGACTATATAGATATCATTCGAGAATGCAGCAAATTAGCCAACAGTGTCATGATAATGTCACTACAATCATAGCGCAGCTCTCTCGACCGCGAAGGGCGCACAGCGGAGCACCATGGGTAAGAAAATTTGGTTATCTATGCATCCAAGACATTTTAGTTCTGACAAAATCGTCCGTACGGCGCAAGTACGTACACCCATTCATGTTAGCGGATGTGAAATGGCACTCTTACCAGCTAGGGGTCAAAGCATTTAAAAGTGGTATTTGACATCCATGTTGTGGTCACAGGTAACCCAGGCTCTGTGATAGTACCACAGTACGGTTCCAGTAAAATTACAGTGTTTGTATGGAGTAAAAATATCATCCTAAAATTTCTAGGAAATACTAAATAAAGATCAATAGAACTTACTCTGCAGTTAATTGTTGTTGTCCTTATTGCTCCAACGAAGTTTCGTGATAATTTGCAGTAATTTGTTCAAATTCACTCTATCTACAATAATAATATACAAGGTAGGAAACACGAGGTGCCAGTTTCGCCGACATGCTCTCATTCAACACAACTTTTTCCACGAAATTCGAACTCCAACGGAAAATAAACATGCCAGGATCGTAGAAATAGGATAGCAGCAGATATAGAAACCAATGAAGCTTTCCCAGATAGAGAAACGAATCCCACAGACTTTGACAAACTCGAAGAATATAATCCAAACACACCGAGAATACGCTCGCCGAAGCAGCCGGGCCAGATCAACGCGCGGCCAAGAAAATGAAGCCTGGGCACTGTACAAAAAAATTCCATCCCGGGAGTCCTGGGGTGACCTTTCTAGGGACCGATACATCATTTGCCCAAGGCCACCCTCCCCTGCTGGAAAAATACTTGATAGAAGGCAATTGTTCTTCCTAGCCAATCACTATGGCCTGTTATAAAGAGATTATTTTTCTCTCGAACTATATTCAGCTCCTGGCGCTGGTCCTCAGAAAGTTTATCAAACATCAATAGGGCAAGGTTATAAGGGCAAAGGAAAGAACAACGAAGGACGATTTACAAAACTTAAAACGAGCAAACGATATAAGTGAATTTTGGCTCTTACCGAGGCATTTGTACAACAGGACCAAATTCAAAGAGAGGTGTATCACGATGATTCACATATTTAACCTATAGAGTGTTCACTTGTATTGACAAGAAGTCGGCGTGTTACTGCCGCATTAATCGCTAAATATGTTAATCGCGCTAGTTCTTTGTTTACTAGTGTACGTGCCTTTCGCATTCGTCTCAGTAATCGCAATTCATATTCTGTCGCAATTTTCTGTATAATTTTGACATTAGTTTGTAAGCTTCACCGTTTATTTACGATAGTTTCGCTCGAGAGTTCACAGCAAAAGTATCTCAGTCATCATCTACCTTTTGTTCAACCTTGTTTTTAGCCCGCCTTGTAAGCATTTCGCGTTATTACTTCATTAGTTTCATTACTGTTATTTGCATTCCTTAGTAAAGAAATGGGACGCCTTGTAACTTCGCAGACTCTCCTGATTATATTACTTTTTTTTTAGCCATTTAAATTCAGGTGCGTGTGCGGGGTTTGCTCTGGCAAATGGTGATTGGCTAGGAAGAACAATTGCCTTCTATCAAGTATTTTTCCAGCAGGGGAGGGTGGCTTTGGGCAAATGATGTATCGGTCCCTAGAAAGGTCACCCCAGGACTCCCGGGATGGAATTTTTTTGTACAGTGCCCAGGCTTCATTTTCTTGGCCGCGCGTTGATCTGGCCCGGCTGCTTCGGCGAGCGTATTCTCGGTGTGTTTGGATTATATTCTTCGAGTTTGTCAAAGTCTGTGGGATTCGTTTCTCTATCTGGGAAAGCTTCATTGGTTTCTATATCTGCTGCTATCCTATTTCTACGATCCTGGCATGTTTATTTTCCGTTGGAGTTCGAATTTCGTGGAAAAAGTTGTGTTGAATGAGAGCATGTCGGCGAAAATGGCACCGCGTGTTTCCTACCTTGTATATTATTATTGTAGATAGAGTGAATTTGAACAAATTACTGCAAATTATCACGAAACTTCGTTGGAGCAATAAGGACAACAACAATTAACTGCAGAGTAAGTTTCATTGATCTTTATTTAGTATTTCCTAGAAATTTTAGGATGATATTTTTACCCCATACAAACACTGTAATTTTACTGGAACGTACTGTGGTACTATCACAGAGCCTGGGTTACCTGTGTTGTGGTCAGTTAATAGCTGTCAAAGAGCCTATCCGCTGACCAGTGTCACATGACTGTGTCGCGGACTCAGGTATACAACTCATTGAGGTGAAGAATTTTTTAAATTTATCTGCTGACAAGTTTTTGGTTTCAATTGATCGCGATCCCAGGTTTATAGGTGGAATTCCGTTTGCTTACTACTTACGGCAAAAGTTGAGTTATTTGAGAAAGACATTTCTTAAAAGATCCCTCGAGAGCTGCGCTTTTGGCCTTGGCTAAATCTATAAATTACACATACCATAGCGAGCAAGTGGCTCCGGGCGGTTGTTAAGTGATTCGAACATAATTCAGGGGGTAGTCGAAGGTACTTTTGTAAACTACTCTGTAACGCTATCATCATCATCATCATCATCATCATCATTTCTTTGTACACGTAATGCCTAAGAGCAAATATCTCTTTCCCCATCTATTGCGAACGGGAGCAACTGAGTATACATGCCAATGAAGTGTTATTAAGTATGTGAATTTAGGTGTTTTAAAATTTATTTTCTGCAATCATTAGAAAAAGTCAAATAACAAATTTCAACAACTGCAAACACCAAAGGAGAAACCAGCTTTATTTAAACTCAATCCTTCTTACTTTACAATTAGAATGAATATGTCATCTACTTTTTGCCCTTCATAATTAATGGACCTGAAAAACGGGTCAAATGAATTCAAAAGGACGTTGCCACCCTCCTTTTTACTGAAAGCACCAGTTAGTGGTATTCAACAGTTTATCATAATCAATTTTGGGGGCATTCCGAATCACCTCCACTCTTGCAAGTGCAGCCACTCACCAAGACATGGCCAGCAACATAGTATTTCTTTGGTTCACATTCGTGAAATACAGGCGAAAGCGGACTGCATCCGATCATAGAAGTGGTGTGACATTCATGATTTGGATATAAAGTATTGTTAATTACCATCACTCTGGAAGTTTTCAAACATGGATGTTGACTGCGAACATCGATTTCTGCATCCCAGACCATCGCGTCCTTTAAGCTTTCAGCCCTCATCATGCCTTGGTCAGCGGTGTCGGACTGGCCATGAGTTGAACTACCTGGGTGATCGTCAAGAGTTGTTCTTTCCAGAAGTGACGTCAATCCCTCTTTGATAGCGGCAGGACTGGCATTCTTTGGGAAAGCGACCTAAAACATTTAAAGCATTTCTTAATATGTGGTTTCCTTTGAAATCTCGTTGACCCTTTGTTCAAAAGCAAAGTTAATGGTCGACTCAGTGGCAGATCCAGGGAAGGGGCCAGGTCCCCCTTGTTTTTAGGCCAAACTGAGGCCCGAAGGTCTGGATCTGCTGCTGGAACTACACAATCATAAGCACCATAACTGATGTTTTCAAATATGTCATTAACATGTAAAACGACTTGATAAACCTATGACGAAATTCTGGGAGTAGGAAGAAACCAAAGAGAATGTCGTACAGATCTGAATTATGCTCAGGGATTTAAAAAAAAACAACGTATTTTCCACATCAATATGTATGGCCTACCATTAAGGTCGTTAATTCATTATTAAAAATTACTTTTTGCTTGTTAGTCAACGGAATTTAATTTTGAGAACTTCCTTTTCTATGGAGCTCTTTAGTTTTGGCTAAAACAGAATTTTTTCCTTCTTCTTTTTGTCATTACATTCACTTCGCTCAAACTTATTTTATTGAAATCCTGATCTATAATTTAATATAAACAAAAGTAGGAAAAGGTATGTAGAAATACGGTTCCTTCTCCAGAAGGAGAAGTATTAAACAGTGTCTGCAGTTAGAACTTATGGCCGCTAAAACATACGTTTAAACCTCAAACTAGTACATGAATCGTGCACTGTAATTTTCAAGGAGTTATAATAACTCCTCTAGTGGGGCTAATGTAACTCCTGACAGTGGAGTTATTTTTCCTGGAGTTATTTTAACTCCAAAAAGGAGTTTAAAGAACTCTTTTTCAATAGTAAAAGTGACCCCAGATATTGAGGAGTCAAAATAACCCCAAAAAAGGAGTTATCCTGTACCTAAAATTTTTACTCGACTTTCAGAGTTAAATTAACTCCAAAAAGAGTAAAAACAACCCATGTAAGGAGTACAAGTAACCCCATTTCGGAGTAATTTTAACTCCAGACTGGGAGTAAAAAGAACTCTTTTTCAGGAGTAAAAATGACCCCAAATTCGGAATTGAATTAGGAGTTAAAATAACCCCAAAAATGGGGTTATCCTGTACCTAAAATAAATAATAACTCCCTAAAAATTACGGTGTGGTTAAAGAAACATGCAACAGTAAGGAAGAGGAAAAATGGCATTTGAATGGTCACACCGACGATTTAGCCACAGCTTCAAATGTTAGACCGTATTTCATAACTACATATTTGTATACGGAAGTGAAAGTCTTGGAAAAGAGAAGTTATTACTGACAGTTGTTACACTCACCAGGAAAGTCAGATACAAGACGACTCCTCTGAACTTCATCTTCTCTATGTCTTCTTGGGACAAGACGACTTAGTACTTTTGATCTATCAAAATTACTTTTATACGCTACGCTACTGCAGGGAGAATGGTCATTGTGGAATGAAAGTTCGGCGGCATTTTTTTCTTCAAGTAGCCTCTTAGAAAAAGAGGATTAGAAAGCTTAACTTGAACTGAGGGGTTTCTTTGAGTGTCAAGGTTACTGGTTCAGCGTTCCCAGCTTTTTATTCTGTTAGAAGAACTTGGCAACTTTAAGTGTTATTGAGTACTATTCCATAGAAAAAGCAAGAAATTACTTCTCGTTTACGAGATGATCGCAATCATAGTTAATCTTTCATCGTTATCAGAGGAATACTGTCGGGAAATAAGAAATGGACCACCAATTCAAGAGCAATCGCTGATTTGAGAACCCAAGTTGAATCTTTTACTCATTGCGGCTGAGCTAAATTTTGGCACTTTTCAAAAGGACGCTCACACTCAAACCGGCATTACGTTCCCTGCTTCTTAGTCTCTCGTGCTCTGAAGAGAGCAAAAAATAGAACCTCAAACTTCTCTTAAAAAATTACTTGTAATTACGTATGCCATTCTTATCAACAATGATATCGATTGACCCATATGTTCTCCCTATCAAAACATAATGCCCCGGACTTTCTTCCTTGCTCTCAGAGGTTATTCTCCGGGTTTTCGGATTTTTCCTTTTCTCAAAAACTGACAATTCCAAATTGGCTTTCGATTTGTAATTCAAGAAAAAGCCCCATTATCCACCTACAAATTCTCCACACTGAACTCCATACATTTAATAGTTCATCATTTTATAAATTCCCATTACCTTTTCTCTTGGTTAAGTATTGACTTTGTGAAGGGAAAATTGATGTTGATCAGGCTTGAAACTTGAGAAAGAGGGCGTGACTTTCCCCCAGGGCATGATCACAGGCTACAATAAACGCCTATAAAGCTGGTACAAATAATAGGTAAAATCTCCTTTTTATTAAATTATTTCTTTGGAGTTTGCATAACGACAACTCAACGGTTCAAAACATACTAATGCTCGAGTGGAAATTTCCCAAGGTCACTATGAATTTTTACGTTTTAAAATAAACCATTCACCTCTTGAAATAGCATATGAAACTGATAGCTGAGTCATGATGGCACAGAAACTTGATCAAAGTAAAAACGAACTTACGAAAAAAAAGTATATCAAATATCAACAGACATAACAATCCGTAATAATATCGATTCTTAGTTTCAAAAGTTTGTTAATAATTATTATTGTACTATTCAATGAAATGTTCCCGACGAAATGGCAATCAAAGGAAGAAATAGCCATGCAACTGGAATGCTGTTTCGAAGGCTACGGAAGCTGAAATTGGCTTTTATGTCTTTTACGAAATGCTAACAAAAAAGATCAAGGAACAATTGTTCTTTAGGAAGGAACATCTAACAGGCGTCTTTCAGAAATTATGTATGTTAATAGAAGAATCAAAGGCTCCTAGGAGCGAGCTCATGGATGAATTGAATTAGTGTACAAAAGACAGTTCAGTAATCAAAGAAAAACATATAAATCTTTTTGAACGGTTCATTGTGTACGGACTTGCCAAAATATATCCGATTGCATGTGCACCTGAATATTATAGAAACTTGTTATCAGCGCTGCATTTCTACTTACAAAGCAGAGATCACTTTTAAAAACAATTATTACCGCTTTTTAGTTGTAAAATAATTTGCTTTCTCATGTGACTGTCAAACACTTTCCGAACGACAGTGCACTTTCTTGTAAAATAGCCAAGTTTTACATAAGCAGGAGTTTTATTTAAACCCTGGTTTTAAACAATTATTTTAATGGACCTCGAAGGTTTCCTAAAAGTGCGATGCTTTTAAATAAATGTTTCCATATGCTGTTCAAAAAGAGTACGTAATGGTTAGTATATTTAGTACGAGCTATATTAAATACAGAAAACAGGCGTTTATAGCTACACCAATTGAACTGCTTTAGAACGCGCTTTTGATAAACACGAGCTAAAAATAATTTTAATAAAACGGATTAAGCTCAAAGCAGTACGTGCTCTGACCTAGCCAAGTAATTTTAACGTAGTCGAAGTATCCGATTGCCTTTCTCCACCTGAATGTTCTAGAGACTTGTTTATACCACGAGCGCAGCATTTCTTGTAGAAATTACATTAATAGCACTGCTAAATGGAATCACCGACAAACAAAAGCCTACTTTAAGGCAAAATAAAGATCACCTAAGAATTCAAGCAAAATAGCGTAACGCTTGTTGGTTCTAAAACCTGTGCTTCCAGTTGACACAACATTAATTCATTCCCTGTTTGCATACGAAGACAAATGGTCGAAAGGATTCGTCCAAATAACTGAATAAACCACAATAGATACTCCTCAATGTCGCTTTAACAATTCGAGGAATGCAGTGATTATAAGGCTCTTTGGCTTATTCGCTTTTCGCTGAACGAAATCCCGTTTTCAAGCTGCAATAGCTCTTTCACACTCCTGTTGATCGCATCTTCTCCACATCAAGTATAATATCGGGAACAAATGTGCACAATTCGTCTAAATATACAACAATGATCCACGCTCAACTATTTCAATGCCCTTTTAACAATTCTAAGTCCATTTCTTGCGGATGATATTATCAGTGTTCTTTAGAATATTTCCATTTATACAAAATCGATCTCTATAATTGATGTGTCGGGAAAAAAATTCGCCTTACTAGTACCCTCTAGAATGTTCCAAACATATGCGTAAAAGGCAGTTGGAACAAAAGTAATACTAAGTAGGGGAGGTAAGAGTAAAGTGTTTAATCTGACTTTAATGAATAAATTAATGAGAATCGATTGAGTGATCGAGTGCCATTCGAGTGCCTCCAAAAGCCCATGGCATGACTACGTCATTCATGAGCTAAAAACTGCATTAATGTAGGTAAAATAAATTAAACAAAATATTTGCTTGCAAATAGAATTTTTATGTCCTCTCTTTGACCAGGGTTTATTTAATAATCAAGGGGGACTGGGCTGGGGTCGGATGTAAATGGCCATTATGTTCACCCCCCCTCTAAGGTTTTTGACAAGTCACATGAACTCGCAAGCTATGTGCTTGCCATTCGTCTCTATCGCTCGGAGTTAGAAGCTTCTTTTGACTTGCTGCGAGGTAAGTATTTATACGTTTTTATTCTTACCGCTATCTCATCGTCATTTTGTTCCCCCTATTTTTGCGGTAGTATTTTGCTTCTCGCTTCGAGCCTTTCGTTTATTATATCATGTTAATGTCAGTCGCTGTGCGGATCGTTTGTTGCAGTTCATTCCTGTGTTGTTTTCGGATCTCGGGTATCACACTTTCTTCCCCGATTGTTCTGGTCGTTGTTCATTTCCATGGCTTCTTCTGTCCCTTCGGTTCTTGTATTAGGTCACTCTTTTATTCGTAGGCTTCGGGATGATCTTCGTTCGCATTTCGATTCACGGGCTGATGACACGTTAGCCTGCGAGCGGCGGACGTTTCTCCTCGCTCATCGCCGCTGAGAGACGTTTCACGAGGAGGAACGTCTGCGACTCAGCGACAGAAATTCCATACTGATGACGCAAAATCTGTGCGGAATCCGGTCAGAAGCGCTAATTGGTCGACGGAGAAGTTTCATTGTTTTAGCTATTGTTTACGAATGACAGACAAAAGACAAAAGGCCGCAAAGGTCAAATGTAAAAGCGATGAATCTGTAACAAAACAGCCAATATTTGTGGAATATAGTCTTCTCTAGAAGAAGCATTTGAGTTTTGCTGGAGCTCATTCGAAGATGAACACAACACTTTACCAAAATCGACCAGGAGAAACGTAAAATTAAACAAATTTGCATTTGGAACCCCATGTCTACCGAATTTATTATGTAAACATTGATTTACGTCATCAGTATGGAATTTCTGTCGCTGAGTCGCAGACGTTCCTCCTCGCGAAACGTCCCTCAGCGGCGATGAGCGAGGAGAAACGTCTGCCGTTCGCAGGCTAATGACACGTTTGGTCTCTCCGATGACGCCATTGTTCATTTACACGGCGTTGGCGGCCTTACTGTAGCGAGATTGCGCCGCGATCTCGGAATTGTTTCCTCTTTGTCCCCCCCAAGTTGTTATTTTGGAACTAGGTACGAATGATCTTGCTCGCCTTCGCCCTGAAGTTGCCGGCTCCGAAATTGAAGAGTTAGTACGCTTACTCCTTGACACTTTTTCAGTTCGGGTCATCGGTGTGTGCGAGGTGTTACCTCGCGTTGGAGCGCCTTTTTTCAACGGCGCTGCATCAATACTTAATCAATATCTTTGTGGCGTTTTGGAGCCCATTCCTAATGTCTTTTGTTGGCGTCATAGGGGTTTTGACAACCCTTCGGTTCACCCTTATTTGCCCGATGGGGTTTATGTGAACTCTTTAAGGTCAGTTTCGATGGTGATATTCTCCATTCAGTTACTTGTTAGGTTGAATTTTTCTTTTTTAATTTTAGCTTGATATTTGGGTCGAAGGGAAACTGTCCTTGGTTGAGTTATAAAGGAAGAGTGCTCCTTGTGTCTACGTGATATTGTAGTACGAGTTTCTGTTAATTTTGTTTCTTGTAATTTTAGTCAAGCAAAAACCAAAAATGCAATCGTTTAAAAGCTAATATGTCATGACGCACAAACTTAATCATAAATCACCGTATGGTAAGTAACCTGGCGCTATAAATATAACAGGACCTAAGCTCTTTGGTCATTTTTTGTCAGAGGTGGTTGGAGCACTGCTTTCCCAGGGAGAAAGATGCAAGGCAAGAATAGTCTTTACCTATTGGTAAGCTTTCTTACTTTCAGAATTGATGTCTGTCACTTTTATTGTTTAAATATTCCTAGTTCAGCGCGCTCTCTTTGAAATTAACTCAAAAAAGAGATTTTAGTTTCTGTATTTGAGAAAGTCCAAGATTATGTCGGATTTCTGAACATTGCAAGAATCTCGAAATGAAATTTGCTTAACTGTAGCTCACT